GTCTCTACTTGGGTCTGGTAGTGTGCCTGATACTGTTTTCACCTGGTGAGCTCTCTGCTGCAGAAGGCATGGTCTTGCCCAGGAACTTGAGGAGGGTGCACTGCAATTCTCCCATTGGAGTTTGCCAGAGATGCCATATAGGGTCCTTTCTACCACAAATAAGCCACCCCGCAACCCACTGGTTCTAAGTAGCAGGGAAGCCCATCTCCCAATCCAAATCTTTGGCAGAGCCCTCTTTTTCTCTGGGCCCCACTCAAAACTGGCAGTTTTCCCATTACCCAATAAAGGGGTGAGAGTGGTATCCCCTAGTGTGCATGCTGACTCCAAAATTCAGAGATGCATCAATGCTGTGCCTCTTTCTTCCTTAAAAGGATGCAAGATGTGTCAGGGTGACCCTAAAGGACCATAACAGGAAACCCTCCAGGGGCTGAGGACAAGGAATAACTTGGCCCTGGCTTGCCCTCAAATGCTGCACCCTGAAAATGTCACTGATATGGCAGGCTCCAGAACTTCTGAGGGCTTCTTGCTCATCCTCTGACATGCACTGTTTGACAAGGCCAGAGCGCCTGTCATTTCCTTCTTCACCATGTCCAATTCGTATGACATCATCAGTGTTACACGGAATATCTACATGATAAAGTACCTAAGGCCTATTGTGACGGAGAACAGGAGAGTTAAAACAGCAAGAAGCAAGACAATTTGTTTAGCTGTTCTTCCCATATAAATGTGAACTGCTTTTAATCCTCTTCGCCACTAGGAATTGAGAAGAATGTTCACCAAGTCAATAACTGCGTTATTGAGTGCAAGAGGTGCGTTAAACAGTTCCAATAAAGACACCACATCTAGCACAGCTGTGTGATCAGGGATACTACTTGGCTACATTTGTGCAGGACCTAATTTACCTGTATCCACCTAGATTTAGCAGGAGCCATTCAGGTTAACTGAAGGGATGAAATGGTGACCACCACTTTATAAGTCTTTGAGGGCGAAATACCTCTGCAATTACACCTGGAATGCAGCATTGTTTCTGACTTACTATCCTGGAAAGGTTTGAGTAGGATGAGGTGTTTCAAAGACTTCCACTTTGATCTTCCTTACCATATGGTACTAAAGGCCTGGAATCAATGTATAAGCTCTGCCCTCTGCTAGGTACAAACATCCCAAGTATGCACTGAGACCAGAGAAGTAATCACAGCACTTGGGTCAGGATGCTGCTTATCATTTGATTTCCATAAGTCTGCACCCTAATGAGAGGGCCATAATGTTCAGGTGCCGTGGTAACAGTGTCAGCTCAGACCCTGTATCTGACAGCCCTTGAGAGATCTAAATAGTCCCTTTTCCAAAGTAAAATAGTTTTTTTGTGTTTTGTTATTGTTCAGTGTCCTGCTGTGTTGCCCAGGCTGGAGTGCAGTGGTGTGAACACAACTCACTGCAGCCTTGAACTTCCAGGCTTAAGTGATCCTCCCACCTAAGCATCCAGAGTAGCTGGAGCCACAGGCACCTGCCCTCACACCCAGTTAATCTCTTAATTTTTTGTAAAGACGGGTTCTTGCTATGTTGCCCAGGCTGATCTCAAACAATCCTCCTATCCCAGCTTCCCAAAGTACAGGGATTACAAGTGTCACCCACTGCCCCAGAAAGAATCAGTTACTTTTTTTTTTTTTTTTTGAGACAGAGTCGTACTCTGTCACCCAGGCTGGAGTGCAGTGGCTTGCTGCAACCTTTGCCTCCCGGGTTCAAGCAATTATCACGCCTCAGCCTCCACAGTAGCTGGGATTACGGGCGTGCACTACCATGCCTGGCTAATTTTGTATTTTTAGTGGCGACGGATTTTGCCATGTTGGCCAAGCTCGTCTCGAACTTCTGACCTCAAGTGATCCACCTGCCCTGGCCTCCCAAAATTCTGGGATTACTGATAACATCGCGCCTGGCCATGTTACTTTTTAAAGTGGCTCTAGCTCCCTTTAGGGAAGGATTGGAGGAGTATTTTTTGGTAAATACTTAGATGCTGGTATCGTAAGGTCCTGAGAGGAACCAAGCCTCCTTGTCAATTAAGGGGCTCTAGGTCTCAAAAATGACTCAGATTTGAACAGAATGATGATTTTCCACTGCAGCAAGTGACATTAACCTTGTGATCACCAACTTTTTATTTCTTTCCGGTTATCAAACAATAGTCAGATGCCCCAAAGAACACCACGGTTCGACCAGATCCCCATGCCATCGCCACAGATCCCTGTGGCTCCAGCGTTCCTGGTCGCCACTCCAGCCTGCTGCAGAAGCAGAGACGCAGGAGGCACGCATTTAAATCGGGACGCCCTCAAGGTGAGGTGCGCAGGCCAAGGAGGGGGCTGCTGCAAGCTGCGCGTCTTCACCTTCTGCTCTTGGGTTTGAGTCTGTAATTAGCTACAGGCCTGGAGGGGAGGCGGAGGGGAGGTGGGGCGGTGCAAGAATGGAGGCGCGCGTCTCAAGCAGGACAGCAAAAGCCCCCTCATTCAGAGGTGGCTCCACCGGCCAGGGGGTCCGCGTGTGATTGCGGATTTGTGCACCGAGAGTCATCGGAACTGTCCCAAGGGTCTCATTCCTTCAGCAAATGCTTCCTGCGAACCCACAGGGTGCCCGCAGCGCGCCCTCTGCCCGCGGTGTGCGGCCCCACCTAGCGCGCGCCTCCTCTAGGCCTTACCCACGCTCAGGACGGACGCGCGCTGGGCTGCTCTTCCTCATCGGAGCGCCCCGGGGGCGGGGGAAGTGGGCCCGGCCAGGGAGCCCTCGCGCCGGGGCCGCCGCCGCGGCTGCCGCCGCCGCCCCTCCGACCCCCGCGGAGCCAAAGCGCGGCTCCTACTCACGCCACCGCCCCCGGCCCGCTGCTCGCAAACGCATGCGCTGCTCCGCCACCAGATGCGCCCCTGGCGCCCCGGATTGGCCCAGGCCGTCCAAAAGGCGGCCCCGTCCAGAGAAAGGCCATTGGTCCTTGCCCATAGGGGCGGGGCACAGTGGCGATGTGCGGAATTCGGCCTTCGGGAAGAGCCCCCCGACCAGGGTCACGGAGAGAGCCGAACGCCGCAGCGAAGAGCCGAATAGAGCCGGAGAGACCCGAGTACGATTGGAGAAGCGCAGGCCGGCCGGAAGAGGAGCCGAGCGCGGCCGGAAGGAGCCGAGCCCGTCCGAAAGGAGCGGAGCGAAGCTGGGCGTTGGGCCTGGTCGAGCCCGCGCCATGGCGGCCGACGGGACAGCTGTGGTCGGAGGCGGGGCTGTTGGCGGCTGCCTGGCCAAAGACGGCTTGCAGCAGTCTAAGTGCCCGGACACTGCGCCCAAACGGCGCCGCGCCTCGTCGCTGTCGCGTGACGCCGAGCGCCGAGCCTACCAGTGGTGCCGGGAGTACTTGGGCGGGGCCTGGCGCCGAGTGCAGCCCGAGGAGCTGGGCGTTTACCCCGTGAGGTGGGAGGTCAGGGGTCAGCCTCTCCGGTGCGCGGATCGGGGTCAGGGGTCAGCCGCGGGGCCCTCAGGACGCTCCGCGTTTTCATCGCCCTCTTGCGTCCGCGCCGGGGGCGGGGCCGGGGCCGGCCTGGCCGGGAGGGGGCCGGGGCGGCGGCAGCGGGGCCGCCCGCGCGCTGAGCGCTCTGCTGTGGGTCTGCAGCGGAGGCCTCAGCAACCTGCTGTTCCGCTGCTCGCTCCCGGACCACCTGCCCAGCGTTGGCGAGGAGCCCCGGGAGGTGCTGCTGCGGCTCTACGGAGCCATCCTGCAGGTGAGGGGTGCGCGCCGCAGCGCCGCCGGCTTGCGGGCCTGTCGCTGACAGCCGCGGGTAGTGGTGTCCCCATTGCGCAGCTGAGGACCCCGAGACTCGGGTCTCTTGCGCATTACACAACGTTGTACTGAAGCCTGGGCCTGTAATCCCAGCGCTTTGGGAGGCTGAGGCGGGAGGATCTCCTGCGCACAGGAGTTCGAGAGCAGCCTGGACAACATCGTGAGACCCCATCGAAATAAAAATAGACCAGGACTAAATCCTGTGCTCCAGAGCCTCCAGGCTATTGGACCAGACGTCCCAGCTCTGGTGGGAGGAAGGCAAGCCCTCATGTGTGTCCCTGTGCCACTTTGCCTCGGCCCCTTTGCTAGCCATCTTTTTTCAGGGCGTGGACTCCCTGGTGCTGGAAAGCGTGATGTTCGCCATCCTTGCCGAGCGGTCGCTGGGGCCCCAGCTGTACGGAGTCTTTCCAGAGGGCCGGCTGGAACAGTACATCCCAGTACGAGCCCCACCCACCCTCCCCTCCCCAAGGCACCTCCACCCGCTAACCCTACCCCAGACCTCAATGTCTGCTTTCACATCCTTCCCCCAAAGGGAATCTTCCCCCAAACCCTGGCCTCCCCACAGTGCCCCATCCCTTCCCCCTCCTGCCCCAGCCCCATCGCCACCCTGATAGGTTCCTGGGTGCAGAGCCGGCCATTGAAAACTCAAGAGCTTCGAGAGCCAGTGTTGTCAGCAGCCATTGCCACGAAGATGGCACGGTTCCATGGCATGGAGATGCCTTTCACCAAGGAGCCCCACTGGCTGTTTGGGACCATGGAGCGGTGAGTCAGGAGCCCCCTCAGGGCTCCTGTACACCTGCACTGAACCTCCGTGTCAGTGGTTACCACACTGACCTGTGACTGGATGTGTCCATGGCTCTATCCAGCCCTCCACTTGAGCGGATTCAATGTCCCAGTGTCTAGCATGGTCTCACAGAACACGCTTTGAAATGCTTGCCAGAGGCCACATGCCTCATGCCTGTAATCCCAGGACTTTGGGAGGCTGAGGACAGTGGATTGCCTGAGCTCAGGAGTTAGAGACCAGCTTCAGCAACACTGGGAAACCGTCTCTACTAAAATAGAAAAAATTAACCAGGCATGACTGTGTGCCCCTGCAGTCCCAAGTACTTGGGAGGCTGAGGGAGGGGTATTGCTTGAACCCAGGAGGAGGAGGTTGCAGTAAGCTGAGATCGCGCCACTGTATTCCAGCCTGGGTGACAGAGCAAGACTCTATCTCAAAAAAAAAAGAAAAATGATCGCCAGGCAAGTCACACAGTGATAGGAAAAGGGGCACAGTAGTCTGGCCTGAGGGGTAGATAGGGGTGGGAAACAATAGCAGAGCTAGTGTGTCCTATTCTTTGGGCTTCAGGTACCTAAAACAGATCCAGGACCTGCCCCCAACTGGCCTCCCCGAGATGAACCTGCTAGAGATGTACGGCCTGAAGGATGAGATGGGCAACCTCAGGTGAGGGCAGGCAGGACAAGGCTAGGGAGATGGTGCCATGCACGTAATAGTAATGGTGTCTGCCCTTCCAGTGTTTACTGAGCGCTGGTGTCAGGGCCTGGACTGTTAGTGTGGCTCTGACCCTCCTGTAGTCACTCCTCGCCAGGACCCATGCTCCCATACCCCTGCAGGAAGTTTCTAGAGTCTACCCCGTCACCAGTCGTCTTCTGCCACAATGACATCCAGGAAGGTAGGAAAAGGCATCCGAGTCTTTCAACCCAACATGGAGGAGCCAGAGGGCTCTGGAGTGAGCAGAACCTCACCCCATTCCCCCAGGAAACATCTTGCTGCTCTCAGAGCCAGAAAATGCCGACAGCCTCATGCTGGTGGACTTCGAGTACAGCAGTTACAACTATAGGTGAGGGTGGAAGGGTGGCTTCCCATAGATCTGTTGCCATAGGGTGCTTGAAAACAGGCCAGCTGCCCAGGGCATTTGGGAACTGACTGTCCACCTTTTTCTCCCAGGGGCTTTGACATTGGGAACCATTTTTGTGAGTGGGTTTATGATTATACTCATGAGGAATGGCCTTTCTACAAAGCAAGGCCCACAGACTACCCCACTCAAGGACAGCAGGTATGTGGGCCAGAGATGGGAGCAGGAAGGAGGGCGGTGGAGTCTTGGAAGAAATGGCCAGAAAGAATGTCACCTGGGAAATACTCCACAGTCTCCCCAGTTCCTGACTCTTGGCTGTTGATTGTAGCTGCATTTTATTCGCCATTACCTGGCAGAAGCAAAGAAAGGTGAGACCCTCTCCCAAGAGGAGCAGAGAAAACTGGAAGAAGATTTGCTGGTAGAAGTCAATCGGTGAGGAAGGAGGGATGGGGTGGGGCAGGGCAGAGCAGAGGAAAGAGGGACTGGGGAAGAGCTGCAGGTAAGGTGCCTGTGCAGAGTAGGGTTAGGAGAGTGGGGGAGAAGTTAAAACTTTAGGGATTGGCCAGCGTGGGTGAGGGAGTGCCAGACGTGCTCTTGAATGCCCCTCATTTTCCTGCCCTCCCTGAAGGTATGCTCTGGCGTCCCATTTCTTCTGGGGTCTGTGGTCCATTCTCCAAGCATCCATGTCCACCATAGAATTTGGTTACTTGGTAAGTGACCCTGGGGATGGCAATGCCAGCTGAGGGGCTGGGGAGCAGCAGCCACACTCATCCAGGAGAGCTGGGAAGTTCTGGGTAGCTGCAGGCGGCCGGAGGTGGGTATAGAATGCTGGTCCTGGCCGAGCGCGGTGGCTCATGCCTGTAATCCCAGCACTTTGGGAGGCCAAGGCGGGCAGATCACATGACAGCAGGAATTCAAGATCAGCCTGGCCAACAAGGCAAAACCCTGTCTCTACTCATAATACAAAAAAATTAGCCAGGCATGGTGGCGGTCGCCTGTAATCCCAGCTACTTGGGAGGCTGAGGCAAGATAATTGGTTGAACCCAGGAGGCAGAGGTTGTGATGAGCTGAGATCATGCCATTGCACTCCCGCCTGGGCAACAGAGCGGGACTCTGTCTCAAAATAAATAAATAAAGAATGCTGGTCCTACACATTCTCACCACCCTAGGACTATGCCCAGTCTCGGTTCCAGTTCTACTTCCAGCAGAAGAGGCAGCTGACCAGCGTCCACTCCTCATCCTGACTCTCCACCCTCCCACTCCTGGAGCCTCCAGGGCAGGACCTTGGAGGGAGGAGCAACAAGCAGAAGGCCCTGGGGACTGGGCTGAGCCCCCAAGTGACACTGAGGTTCAGGAAACCCACCTCTTGAGTTTGAGTAGGTCCCCATGGCAGGCAGGCCAGAGTCCCGACCTGTGTATGTAACACAATAAACAAGCTTCTTCCTTCACACCCTGTCCTGGCACTGCCGAGCCAAGCAGCACACACAAAGGGACAGAGTGACCGCTGCAGTCTTCGGTATTCTGGGCTTGAAAGTGGTTGAGGGTTCATGAGGCCGATTGGGGTCCCCCATTGCTCCCCACTCTTCTGGCTCTTGGGGAGGAGGACCGGAGAGAGATGGGGGTGAAGGCAACCCTGAGGTAGGGGCTGCCCGGAGCAGCAGCGATTTGAAAACAGGCAGCAGCTGACACACTGGTGACCTTTTCCCTACATTTGGCTATTTTTAGCTCTAATGCCACCATCCTCACGAGACTCTCTGGGGCCCCCCAGGCTCCCAGACCTTTGAGCAACCCTCATCGCGCAGAAACACTGCCCCGCCCTGCAATTCCCACCGCGGAAGGTGGGTGGGTTCTGGTTCCCGGTCCCGCGTTTTACCCCGACCCGGATTTGGGGGTAGGTGTCAGGTTCCTGGTGAGGGCGGGGCGGGGGTGGCTAGGTCTGAAGGACGTGGGGACACGGGCCAGAGTGGCTAGCCCCACGCACGGACAGGAGTGAACCCGAGCCGTGAGTAGGGGGCACAGGGGCGAGGACGGCGCTGGGGCCACGCGGTCGGGGGGTAAAGGGGGGGCGCCGGAACCCTGCCTCTGTCCAGGCCGACTCCGCTTCCAGGGGCGCCTCCTCCCCTGCCCGCGCCCTCGCTAACGCCCCCTACTCCAGCCTGCCCTTCACCGTCCTTGGGGTTCCTGGAGCTTTCAAGGCCCAAAGCTCTGCACCACAGTGGCTGTGCCCACCGGAAGGCTGGCGCGAGGATTTGGCGGCGGTTGGCCTGGCGGGGGGCGCGGGCCGGGGACAGCCGCTA